CAAGAGTTGAAGACAGTGCTTTTGGGTTGGCTATAGGTACAGGGTTTAGGTGCAGGTCTCCAGGATCTTCCTGAGTGGCAGCTCACAACTACCTACCATGCCTTAGTCTCCTGACCCAGAGTTGTGCCAGATGGAGGTTCACATCTTTTCCATGGGTCTTAACTTTATTTTCCATTTTTATATACCACTTATTTTATGTTGAAAAGTGCCCCTTATAACATCTCCAAATGGAGCAGGTCCTAGGATGATACATATTATCTAGGACTTCAGTGGCAATCTGTTATAGATGTTTATATAATATTTGTACATGAATTGTGCAATTTAATTCAGTGCTAACAGATTTGGTCAAACAAAACCAAACTAATCAATGATTTAAAATGTGCCATGGCGGGGAGGGGGGGAAAGGCATAAAATTGTGTAAGTGTGAAATAAAATGAATTGATGAGCTTGAAAGAGAAATTAAAGAAATCTTTTATGGTTTTTAGCATGGAAGTTTCTAGGAAAAAAGAAGATGTTTCCTGTCTCGATGTTTGGCTAAAATGCATACTATTTGCTTTTGGAACATGACTTACCCATATCTGCAGCCTTCATTTCTCACATTCTACAAGCACAGTATACAACAAAAATCATCGTGAAGTCATAATGAATTAGGAAGTCTACAGCTTGTCATTCATCCCCTCACCAAGCGGTGATGTCAATCTTTGCCTCACTTGGACTCTCCTGAGTCACCCTAGACATCTGTGCGAAGGACACACCCACATCCAGAAGCTTTCTGTCCTGTTGGCTGATGTTCACAGCCCAGGAAGCCCCTTCATCTGATGCCTCTCCAGCCCCATTGTCACTGGGATGAGTCTGAGATGTTCCCAAGGCTGTAATAGGGAATTGAAACTGTCCTTTGGTAGAGTACATGTCCAGGTTTGCTGGCTCCTATTAGACAAACAGAATTTCCAGGATGCATCTGTTGGAGGCATGGGAAGGATTTATTAGAGACATAAGATGTACTATAGTTTGGACTGGGAATATTTCTATAGTTTTGGTAGTGGAAATCTGTGCAATTTGATAATCTTGGTCTGGTGGTGGAGAGGAGGAGGCCCACCCATAGTAAAATAGCTTAATTTATAGTGAAAGATGGCTTATTCATAGGTGAAAAAGGACTATTTGAAAGTAAAATAATGGTCAAGGCCTTCTGCTGGTGACAGAGAATGTCCCTGGCTTATTCTGCTCTAAGAGAAGAAATAAACAACAAAGATAAACAAAATGGGTTTGTGTCTGGAGGCTGCAGTGCTGATATTTAAAATTATGCTTTTCCTTATCTCCTTTCTGCCTAGTTTCTGTATCTTCTATCCTACCTCAGTACTGCTAGTCTATGAGCCATGGGTGTGCAAAGGTATAGCGAGGGCCACACCACTCTCCCCTCACCCCTCTTGACACTGAGCTCACCAGCTGTGCTTAGGAGTGGGAAAAGCATCTTTTGTCCTCCTTGGTCCTGTTTAGCCAGCCACTCAGAAGCCCCCAGGTGTCCTGCTGCCCTCGCTGCCCCTCCTAGGCTACCACCTTGTGCCCTTGACTCCCTGGAAGCTCCACTGCTGTCCCAGACTGCTCTGCAGGGAAAGCCACACAAGCCCACGGGGGGGGTGGGGGGTGGAACACACACTTCTAGCTGTTCCTTTTTCTGCTTTTGCCTCTGGACACCTGAGACACACTCCAGGTTCTGGAGGCATTCACTCCTACTGGACCATCCACCGATACCTTCGAGACATGCCTCTGAGCTACTGGCCACACCAGAGGAGCCCAGACATTTAAAGTCTCCTGGACCCCAACACCTCTGGTCCTTACTCTCATTCCTAGACCAACACCAAAAAGTGATTAAGCCGTGCTGCCATCTTCACGTGATCCCTCAGCTATCTCTTGAGTTGGGTTTTCTCCCTCTTTGCTCTAATGAGTGAGCATTGCTCTGAGACAAAACACAGCTTGTGGACGTAGGTAACAATGGTAATGTGAAACCAGGTAAAAGAACAGAGGTCAAATAATTCACTTTCAAGAATGCTCAAACAAAACAAGCTGGAAGAAGGAGCACATATGGAAAGAAACCTGATAAACAAAGAATTGCCAGGAAGGAGAAGGTTGAAAGTACTCCTCCTCGGTGCTCTGCTCAGTCCCCCTCCTCAGTCCACCTCCTCAGTGCCCAATAAGGGCACTCTACCCCATCCTTTGGGTAGCCCCATCCTTTGGGACTCTTACTGGTTCTCTGTGCAAACGGCAGCAGCTGCCAAGTTTGTATGAATCAGGTTGGAGCTGAGAGAAAGATAAAATGACTGTCCACTTAGAAACTCACCTATCCTCGCCCCCAGCTTGTCAATAAACTATTACACAGACTGAGTGGAGCCAGAGCAAGCCATTTCAGAGTACAGGTGTTCGCTGCTGTCCTCCACTCATCAGAGAAGCTCCCCTAATTACATTCGTGATTCCCAAGAAATACAGATTCGCGCAGTGAGGGTGAGGGATGAGGGCTTGCTTTGGCTTGGAAAGAGCATGCTTATATTCATTTTCTCTTCTGTAAAGAGAGAAGGATGGCTATTAAACACAGAGTGGATAGTCTAGCATTGTTCTTAGGCTGTTGTTGTTGTTTTTTCTTTTTTAATATGGAGCAAAGTAGACCTGTGAATATTTTTCTCAGCCTGCTTTTGGGCTGGGCCCCTCCAAACCCTGCCGACCAGTGGCAGTCCTAGCCCGTCTGGACGGTACTCGCTTGGGAGCTGGGGTGAGCACGGTGGAAGAGAGAATCAAAGTGTTCCCTTCACCTAAGCTCTGCTTTCTAGTGCTATGCTCCCTCCTCAAACCAGCTGGACGGAGAAAGTTTCCACCCTACCCCAATCTGAAATAGAAACAGAAACAAGGGAGGCTGTGCCCTTGTTTTCTCCCTATCTTCTAATTTTGCCAACAAAGCAGACCCTGGGGAAGGAGGCCAGAATCTCAACTAAAAGCATTATTCTTGGAAGTACGATAGCAAAGCGTGGTATATAAAAAGCTATTGCTGATATAACTGGAGGTTAGGAAAGGTCTAGCCCATTTTTCCATCTTCATTTATCAAATATTTAAATTTTTGGTGTTGTGCTAAGAATTTTCCTTCTGTACATAGGCATTATGTCGTTTAAGCTTGCGCCCAGCCTTATTAGGAAACACCATTTCATTCTCTCTTTACAGGGGGGACATTGAGGCTCCAAAGGCACACAGCCTGTGGGAGGCTCAGCAGAGAGAGTGTGTCCTCCACCACACCACAGGGCCCTTCAGCTCGCCCTCTGCCACTGTCTGGTGCCCTCCAGTCACCTTGCCAAGGCTCAGGTAGCAGCAGCCCCTTTCTAGGTTCCCACAGCACCTTTACCTGTGCTGCAGCTCATCACGTACTGTACTGAGGGCCCGAGAACAGCGAGTGTGGTGTGTTCATTGCTCATGCCCAGCGCTTACCCCGCGCCTGCATGAACCAGGCCTTCTGTGCACCAGCTGAGGGGGTGGTGACACCTCAGCCCCCAGGGATCCTTGCTAACAATGTCACCAGCCCGGAGGACGATGGGAACGTGAGGGCTTTATCCTTGTCCTAATATTTTGTCGAGACATGGTTCCACTGAGTAGTGCACACTGGCCTATGACTCACTGTGTAGCCCAGGTCGGCCTCGAACTCAGGGAGAGCCTCCTGTCTGAGGCACAAGCGCTGGGATTACAGATGGGTGCCACTGTGCCAGCTTCCTCGTCATAGCGTTATAGCATTGTATAATTTTACAGCATCGTATAACTTTATAGCATAATTTTATAACATGATTTCATGTGAAAGGACTGTGTCTCAAGTAGCAGGACACCTCGGCTCAAATCTAAGCTCTGTTCCTGACAGTTGCTGACCTTAAGCCACGTTCGAACGCCTTCCCTCGCAGGCCCCTCATCTTCTCAGGCACAGCCCCTCACTCTTGGCACTCTAGACTTCAGTTTCAATTACTGTTTCACCACAGTGCACAGTTCCTAAGTCAGGGCCACGCCGGCTTCCTTCTTCCTCTTTCCGCGGAGTGAGAGTGGCGCCGGGACGCGGAGGATGCCCGAGCAGCGTGAGAGCAGCCCGGACCCGGACGGAGCAGGCCTCCGGGGCTGTAATTCCCCTCAGACGGGAAGACTCTGGGTGCAGAGCAGGTGGTGCAAGCGGGCGAGAGGCATTGCAGTGGCGCGCCCAGCTGCAGCCGGCTCTCCTGCTGTCGGGGCGCCTGCTTAGGGTCTCCGTGGCATTCGGCCACCTCTCTAGGCCTTCACGGATGAGGGTGATGAGGAGACAAGGAGGGGGCGGCAGAGCGTGGGCATGCGCGCACGGAGGGCCCCCGCGAGCGTCCAGCGCGGGGCAGCCTGCGGTCGACCTGCTGGGCGGCTGCTGGACGCTGACCTGGGCGCCAGCCTCGACCTGTTCTGCAGCCTCGATTCACAAACCCCGTCCCACAAAGTGCCGCCGTCGAAGTAGGAAACGAGGAGGGGTGTCTCTGCCGGAGCGCTGCGATTGCATTAAAACTAGTTGTTTCAGAGGAAAGAAATGAGCAAATAATGTTCTCCCGGGTTTACGTTAAAGGAAAAAAATGTGTTGGAGCCAAAGGAAGGAAGAAGAAGA